ACTTCTGCAGCCGCGCGGAGCGGCCGCGGGGGGGCGCTGCGCACAAACCCGCGAGAAAACCCTAAGGGTCTCCCCTCCCGCTCCTTTCCCCATTTGTCCTCGGCTTCTTTTAGAGACCCCAGTAATAGAGGAACCTCGAGATGCGGATCCCGCACTCGCAAGCCCAGGGTCCCGAGAGAGGCTGCTATCTCCGGGGATGTCATTTTCCAACCTGTTTCCCATTTCCGGGGCTCTCTCTGGGAGCTGTCTGAAGGGTCCTCACGGCCCACACTTACTCTGAGAACTTTCTGAGGTTTGACCTATTGATCTTCTTTGGACGAGGATGAGAATAGATGGTCCTCCTCCCCGTCCTAGTTGCCCTAACGCTGGACCTAGCCTATGGAGCCGTAGGAACAGGAAGACCCCCGCTCAAATATACAGGGGGCTGGGGGTGGGGGGAGCCTTGGCTTCCCTCTTGTCCATTTTTGCGCCCCGCCCCCTTTTCTGCCAGGTCTCTATCACAGCTACATCTTCCTTCTGCAGAGCCACTCCCCAGGAATCTCTAATGCTTTCTCTCCCCTTCTCCCTTCCCCTCTTTACCTAAAGAGAAACTGTGAGAAAACTGACCCAGGGAAAGCATGTGCTGGGGGACCTGTTCTTGGGGCAAGGGTTGAAGATGGGGAAAGTGGGTACCCTAGAGTGCTGCCTGCTGAAAACCCAGGGTGCTACTCATCCTGTGACTCCGTGTCTAATGGACTTTACCGGTGGGACAATGACTTCCTGACAATCAGCAAGGTGCTCCAGACACATACCCACAAGGTCTAGGAACTATGTAAGGTCAGATGGCCAGTCATTTCCTACCCTTTAAGTTACCCTCCCTGCCCCTAACCCATTGCCCCCTAGCAACCATCTCTACCTCTTCTCCTTCCCCACAGGATCCGAGTTCCTCCGAGCCAAGACTGAGCTCCATAAAGCCAGGTTCCCACTGGGTTGTGCACCTCTAAAGGCAGGCATGAGAAAGGAGCTGGGACCCTTCCTTTTCAGTAACCTGGCTCTCAAACAGGCAGGATTCAGGGCCTTGGGTACCTTCCTTTAATAAGTAAACTTTCTGCCATGAAACTAGAACTAATAGGAAGTTCAGTACCTTGGATTTTTGATTTATTGCAGTCGCTGTGATATGTGCCCTTTTTTTCCAGGGATTGAACTTATTCTTGGGGACACAGAGGAAGGCGGGTGGAAGATACAACCTGTAGGCCAGTGATGGCGAACCTATGATATGCGTGTCAGAGGTGACACGCGAACTCATTTTTTTGGTTGATTTTTCTTTGTTAAATGGCATTTAAATATATAAAATAAATATAAAAAATATAAATCTTTGTTTTACTATGGTTGCAAATATCAAAAAGTTTCTATATGTGACACGGCACCAGAGTTAAGTTAGGGTTTTTCAAAATGCTGACACGCCGAGCTCAGAAGGTTCGCCATCACTGCTCTAGGCCCTCCCCTTGGCCCCACCTTGCCAGAACACCATCCTCTGTAGAGCCTCACTTCCCTGATGGCCTAAATAGTTATTCTGGCCTGAGGCGAATCTGCCAAGGATTAGTCAATCAGCCACGTAAATCTTCCACTAATACGTTCACTCAGTAGTGAGCATGCTGCAGTGGTGCTCGAGTCTCCCGGTTCTTGTCCCAGAAGCAGTGCAGCAGGGACGTGCTTAGGAAAGAGGGCTATGGGAAGGGAAGAGCCAATCCCCGACTGTCACTGCAGCCCCGGGAGCTTCCCAGCCAAGTCTCTTCCTTTAGGCCGGCCGTGGGTCTGCTTTTTGGGAGCAGAACTGGTCAGATGCCAGACAACCTCATCCCGCTTCTCCCAGAGCAGGAGAAAGCAGAGACGGTGTGGCCCCAAGGAGGTAACAGGGGTCACGGCTCTAGGGGCCAACCTGTGAGTGGAAGGGCTCCCATATTCCAAACTGAGACAGTGGCCAGATCAGACTCCAA